CAAAAACTGACCTCTCTTTTTAAGGGTCTTAGAATCTATAGAAAAACCAGGTTGAGCACTTAGGGACAAGAAAGAAAAGAAACAAAGAAAAGAAAGAAAAATAACCTTAAGTATAACAAAACATTAAAGGAGTAACATTTATCTATATAAATCAGTATTACATTTCTGTTCTTTCATAAAACTATAAAAATAATTTCAATATGCGTGCTTTTTCTTAGAGTGCATTATTTCATTTTTAAAAGATATTTTCTGAATTTTCCCCCTTTGATGTCTAGGAAATGCAGTACTTCTTCTGTCCTTAATTTTCTTTTTGACTCATACAGTTAACTTGGAATTAGTTGGTAGATATAGGCATCACACAAGTGGCTGGGGCTAACTGTAACTCCTACCATGTATATTAAAAGAATCATCAGAAAGTTGTATGATCACAGAGTCAACATTAAAAAATGGTCAAATGATAAACTTTGGGCTTTTGTACATAAAGGTATGCAGTAACTTTTCATTTATTAAAAACAATGAATTCTGAGAGGCAGTGTGCCATGGGATAAATGGGATGCTAATATAGTTATTTTTAGATCAATTTAAAAATAGATGGAAAGATTTCATTCTTTTGATGGCTGCATAATATTCCATTGTATATATATTTGCAATGACGTGGATGGAACTGGAGGGTATTATGCTGAGCAAAATAAGTCAATCAGAGAAAGACATGTATCATATGATCTCACTGATATGAGGAATTCTTAATCTCAGGAAACAAATTGAGAGTTGCTAGAGTGGTGGGGGGTTGGAGGGATGGGGTGGCTGGGTGATAGACATTGGGGAGGGTATGTGCTATAGTGAGCGCTGTGAATTGTGTAAGACTGTTGAATCACAGACCTGTACCTCTGAAACAAATAATACATTATATGCTAAAAAAAAAAAAAGGAAGAAGATAGCAGGAGGGGAAGAATGAAGGGGGGGGAATCGGAGGGGGAGATGAACCATGAGAGACTATGGACTCTGAAAAACAAACTGAGGGTTCTAGAGAGGAGGGGGGTGGGGGGATGGGTTAGCCTGGTGATGGGTATTAAGGAGGGCATGTACTGCATGGAGCACTGGGTGTTATACACAAACAATGAATCATGGAACACTAAAAAAAAAATAGATGGAGAAAATCGCTAAATCAGATATATTCACAGCTATAGGAGCTATCATGTTCTTAACAATACTATGTTAGGTTGGTTTTATTTCCTCTTGACCAGATCATAAATGAGGGTCCAATAGGAGCTTAGAGATGAATTGAGAAACAATATTTGCAACGTTTTAGGGAAGAAGACTTATATACACAGAAACATCATAAAATGAGTCCTAAGGAGAGACATCAGTAAAAAAAAAAATTTAATTTAAGTTTTCCCATCAAATGTAGAGCTGGCATAGTAGGCCAGCTAGGAGATTTACATTTTGATTAGTTGAAGCAATAGTGGAGGTAGGTAAATGGGCTGAAGAAATCTTCAGAATTCAAGATATAGAACTACCAGTTATATATGTTCATAGACAAAAATAAGAGATGTGGGATATATTAATCTTCTATATTTCACCTAATGCTCAGAAAAAAAACTAACTTGGCATAAAACAGACTTCTACATTATTTCAGTGTAAATCTTCTGTATGCACTTGATTAATGTAGATTTGTACAATTTCCTGACTACTTCACTATTAATATTTCTATAATTTTAGTAAGTAGAGCAGCCTAGTCTTCATTTCCTAATCTAAATTTGCTTTTTGTTTAATTCCACTAATGAAAAGAGTTTGAAATAAAAGGTTAAAATAGGAAGAAGTGGATAGGAAGACAGATTTGGGAAGATTGGAATGAGGAAGTAGAAAGATCTGAAAAAGTTCAGAAAAAAATGGGCTGGTTGGGGCACCTGGGTGGCTCAGATGGTTAAGCGTCTGCCTTCACCTCAGGTCATGATCCCAGGGTCGTGGGATTGAGCCCCACATCGGGCTCCTGGCTCAGCGAGGAGCCTGCTTCTCCCTCTCCTTCTGCCTCTCTCCCTGCTCAGGCTCTCTCCTCTCTCCTCTCTCTCTCTGTATCTCTGTGTCTCAGATGAATAAATAAAATCTTAAAAAAAAAGGGCTGGTTGACATAGTGAAAGTTGATGCGTGTTTGTAGATATTCCAGTTTTAACAGGATCATCCAGAGATATTTATTGTAGAAAAGATATTCTTCTAAGTGGTGTTATTTGACCTTTCAGTAGTAAATGTAGTCCATTTAGCAATTGTTGATCTGTAAATCAGCATTCAGCCAAATCCATCTTATCAGTGAAAGATGGAGGTATTAAAGATAAAAGATAATGAATTGTACAATACTGATGAATCACGGATCTGTACTTCTGAAACAAATAATGCAATATATGTTAAGAAAAAAAAAGAAGAAGAAGACAGGAGGGGAAGAATGAAGGGGAGTAAGTCGAAGGGGGAGACGGACCATTAGAGACGATGGACTCTGAAAAACAAACTGAGGGTTCTAGAGGGGAGGGGGGTGGGGGGATGGGTTAGCCTAGTTATGGGTATTAAAGAGGGCACATTCTGCGTGGAGCACTGGGTGTTATGCACAAACAATGAATCATGGAACACTACATCAAAAACTAATGATGTAATGTATGGTGATTAACATAACAATAAAAAATTATTTAAAAAAGATAATGAATATCTGTATATACACAAGTTTTTATTGTGAAAATCCAAACTCTTGAGACATAAATACTTACAGTACACTATTCATCAGAAAAGATCTAAAATGACAGAAAAGAAATAAACACTGTCTTCACTAAGCTAATATACATAGAAAAACTTTCAGAAGCAGCCATAGATACAATATACTTTGCTTAAATTTTGACTTGGTCTGATCTCATACCATAGCATTATAATTGGTCAGTGGATACAGTTCGGATGTAAACATATTTTCATCATAACTAATGAATTATATTTTCTCCACAAATTGCCCAGTAGAATAACAACTGAAAAGTGTTTTTCGCTTATTCCAATGGTTGGCTCTATGCATTTGTGATGAAATTCCGTAAATCTGCCAAAAGCAATTTTAAGTACACTATATGTGTGAATAATAAATCTTTATTTTCCACCTTGGTTATTTGTCAGAAACTTCCTTGTGCAAAATCAACTTTTACTAAAAAATAGCAGCAGCTATTGTGAATGACTGGTAAAAAAGCATTGCTTGCAGAAATGACAATTTATTATGCACTAAAGGAGCTAGAAAAATAACAACAAATGAAACATAAGCCAGCAGAAGAGAGGAAATAATGAAGATTGGAGCAGAAATAAATGATATAGAAACTAAGAAAAAAATAGAACAGATCAGTGAAACCAGGAGCTAGTTGTTTCAAAAAACAAAAAAAAAATAAAATTGATAAAGTTCTGGCCACACTTATCAAAAAGAAAAGAGAAAGACCCCAAATAAATAAAATCACAAATGAGAGAGGAGAAATAACCAACACCACAGAAATACAAACAATTATATTATGAAAAATTATATGCCAACAAATTGGACAACCTGGAAAAAATGGATAAATTTCTAGAAACATATAAACTACCAAAATAGAAATAGAAAACTTGAATAGAACGATACCCAGCAAAGAAATTAAATCAGTAATCAGAAGTCTCTCAGTAAACAGAAGTCCAGGGCTTCATGGCTTCATAGGGTAATCCTGCCAAACATTTAAAGAAGATTTAGTACCTATTCTTCTCAAACTATTCCAAAAAATAGAAAAGGAAGGAAAACTTTCTTTTTTTTAAATTTTATTATGTTATGTTAGTCACCATACAATACATCATTAGTTTTTGATGTGGTGATCCACGATCCATTGTTTTCATATAACACCCAGTGCTCCACGCAGTACGTGCCCTCCTTAATACCCATCACTGGGCTAACCAATCCCCTCTCCCCCATCCCCTCTAAAACCCTGCTTTTTTTCTCAGAGTCCATAGTCTCTCATGGTTCATCTCTCCCTCCAATTCCCCCCTTCATTTTTCCCTTCCTTCTCCTAATGTCTTCCATGCTATTCCTTATGTTCCACAAATAAGTGAAACCATATGATAATTGACTTTCTCTGTTTGACTTATTTCACTTCTAATTCATTGTATGAGGCCAGCATTACCCTGATACCAAAACCAGGTAAAGACTCCACTAAAAAAGAAAACTGCAGGCCAATATTACTGATGAACATGGATGTAAAAGTTATCAATTTATTATGAAGTAGTGGCAATTTACTATGGCAGTAGTGACAGTGTACTATGGTAGCAAAATTAACATTTTACTAGTTGACTAGAAAATGAACTTTTATTAACACATAAAGTAGGTAATATCTCAGAACTAAATTCTTAAATATAAATAATTATAAATAATCCTAGTCTATTTTTAATTATAATCCTTCATTTTACTGTCATGGAAAATTGTATGAATCAACACCAAAGGCCCTTTTAAAAGGAATTTTCATTCTTGTTTCTTTAGTCACTTGTATTTTAAATCAACGTACACACAACTGAATAAAATAAAAGGACATAAACTCGTATATTGAATGACCATAGGTAATTAAAATAGTAATGGATGTGTAAAGAGTTGGTAATAGATTCAAATTATCATGTTGACACCTGTGTTAGTACTACTAGTAGCACTAGTAATGTAATGGTTTCTTTGGCTATAGAAAGAAACCATTACAAGTATACAAACCATATATATTAGAAACCAAAGAAACCATTACAAGTATACAAACCATATATATTAAATGAACTGTTTTATTCTGACTCTTCCATTTGGATCCGATGGTAGCAAAATATAACCTTTACCTTGTCAGCCAGGTTAGAGAATCATTGGGTACTTTAATTTGAGTTGCAATCACTGATTCTATGCTATAAATTATAGGTACATAAATATAATGTGAATGATGCCAACTAAAATTTTTATACAAGCAATGTTTCCATTTTTAATATCCCTTTAAAAGGTACCACTACAATCGAAAAATATGATCTGAGAACCAACAGCTGGCTACATATTGGCACCATGAGTGGCCGTAGGCTTCAGTTTGGAGTTGCAGTTATTGATAATAAGCTCTATGTCGTGGGAGGAAGAGATGGTTTAAAAACTTTGAATACTGTGGAATGTTTTAATCCAGTTGGCAAAATCTGGACTGTGATGCCTCCCATGTCAACACATAGGCATGGCTTAGGTAAGAGCTTAATGTTACAAAGTTTCTAAAGAATGGATCATTAGTAGATCTTTTTAAAAAATTTAATATAGCTGTACATTATTGAGATTTTATTTTATTTTAATTCAGTATAATTAACATAGAGTATTATATAAGTTTCAGGTGTACCATATAGTGATTCAACAATTCCATACAGCGCCCAGTGCTCATCATGAGTGTACATTATTGGGATTTAGCCAAACCCTTAGTCAAAATGTCTCCAAAATGCTGAAAAGCTGAATCAAATGGTAAAACTTGTGAAACATTTTTTTCTTGTTTCAGATGTCATACTTGTTAATCCTGCCTTCCTTTAAATGTATTTTAAAAGGGTACCACTTTAGGAAGAATAAAAAGTTTTGGAAGGGATACACCATTGAGGAACATAAAACTACAATAGGGAGTTTTCTTCTAAACTAAATTTAGAAAAAACAAAAAGTACTTGATGATGGAAAGACATTGTGTTTCTAATTTGATGAACTTTGTCCCTTCCTATAAGAGGCAAATCTGTATTTCAGCAAAGGCTTCGAATGCAGGTCCAAAGCAAGGGTATTTAGAAAAAACTGCTTTGATTGAGAGCAACTCTAAGTTATACTTAAGCTAGAGAGTCCCAAGAAGTTTAAGATGAAGGGGAGACTTCTGAAACAGTTGGGAACTTTGATTCTCCTGAATATTTGTCAGGGTACATCTTTCTTCATGCTAGACTCCATAAATTTTCAATATCATAGAGTTTGTTTAAAAAGCATAATAATTGCCTTATTTTTTTTAAGAACTGACTTACACATCTAAAAAGTGGCAGATTCAGGACTGGTATTGTCTTTTTTCCCACATTATCTAAAAAAGTGTCCATGTCAAATGATAAACTATATAATTATTCAGCTCAGTTGTGTCAGTGTGATTCCTAGACATTACTTAGAAAACATATCTTACAGAGAAATCATAGCAAGTTTTTAAAATCTTATTGATATTACTAAGAAGGTAGAAGTGATGAAGTTATACCACTGAGATGCTAATTGAGATGGTGAAGAAGGTGAGGGGAAAAGGCTAATTATGTGAATTCCCAGAGAAGCAGTTAGATAGGGGCAATTCATAGTATGTAATGGAACAAATTTCTAACTAAACCTCAAAAATCCCTGTTTATGTGGTTATCTCATGTGAATTTTTTTTATCACTATAATAAAAAGCAGGGGTTAAAAAGACCTACTACAGTTAACCTATGAATAATCTAATCTATGAATAACCTAAGCATTATCTAAGATTCAGTATAGATGTCTCATCTATCCCTTACATTTAAAAAATGATGTTGAAATTATGCCAGAAAAAATAGTTTGCATTTTTTATTACATCCTTAGAAATGGTGTGTTCCACTACTTCCATTGACTTCAGTATTACAACCATGATACCCTGCCATTATACAGTAACTATGCCTGAAAATTTCCTAGGGTTGAGAGACCATGTTTAATTTCATATCAAGATTAGGAAATTATAATGTATACACAAAACCATTTAATAAACAAAAACAATTTTTTAAACAGCCAGTTGCTTGCAAAATGAAAAAAAAAATCCGTTATGTGTGGTATACCTAGGTGAGACCTCATGTTATTTTTATCTCCTAGGTGTAACAACACTTGAAGGACCAATGTATGCTGTTGGTGGTCATGATGGATGGAGTTATCTAAATACCGTAGAAAGATGGGACCCTGAAGGACGTCAATGGAATTATGTGGCCAGTATGTCAACTCCTAGAAGCACAGTTGGTGTTGTTGCATTAAACAATAAGTGAGTAAACCCAAATATGAATGTTCTTTACTCCCAGGTTATGTGGTACAACACTTCAGTGATGTGATCCATCAATCAATAAGCATTCTCAATGACCAGGACATCCTAATAATCAGTAATAAAAGTCCTTGCTGGAACTTCCCCTTCATTACATGGAAAATCCTTGTCTAAAAAGAACATGTAATTAAATATTCTGTCTTGCCTTGCTACTCAAGTGTAGTCCTGGGACCAGCAGCATCAGCATTACCTTAGATCTATTTAGAAATGCTGATGGGGTGTCTGGGTGGCTCAGATGGTTAAGCATCTGCCTTCAGCTCAGGTCATGATCCCGTGGTCCTGGGATCAAGCCCTGCATCAGGCTCCCTGCTCTGCAGGAAGCCTGCTTCTCCCTCTCCTGCTCTCCCTGCTTGTGTTCTCTCTCTGGCTGTCTCTCTCTGTCAAATAAGTAAAATCTTTAGAAAAAAAAGAAATGCTGAATTTTAGCCTCACCCTAGACTTCCTGAATCAGAATTGGCATTTAAAAAATATCCTCAAGTGATTTGTGAGCACATTAAATTTGAGAAGCACTTTTATAGGCAAAGAAGTTCCAATTTTGCCTTCAAGAAGTTACCATTTTTTACATCATGACTTATTCTTATTAAAACTGGTTAGTTTTGTAATGGGGCAAGTCTTTTTGTTCTTTATCATTCACTGTCCTGAATGTTCAGGGTTCCCAACTCTATAATTACACCGAGTCTTATCTTTCTGAATCTTTCCCCCTTCCTGATCACTTGCCTATGACAGCAAGGTAATATATTAAAACCCAATGACATTAAAGGTTGCTAATATCTTTGAATTGTTACTTCTTCAAGGCAATTATGCCCTTTCTAACAAGGGGCCTTTAGAAACAATGACCAGCATATAGGAGAAACTTTAATGATGACAATTTCAGACACCAAGATTGATCAGTGGCAGGAGACAGCCTTGTGTGTCTGTACTGACTGTATATAAAGTCAATATTTCATCATACAACTGGGAAATTTCAACAAAGATTGTTTATATCACCTTGTACATGAAGTAGCAAATGTCTATTAAAAGGATACCCAGTCTTACAGTGTCTTAGAGCTTAAAACTCCTAAATCTGATTATCTTTGGCCTGATCTCAATATCAGGTGACTTGGAAACAATCTCCTACCTATTACAGAATACACTGAAATCACCAAATTTGTCTAATTTAATTTTGTTTTACTGACTTGCTATTATTCACAACTGAGCATGAAGGACAGTTATAAACATATGGTTTAGTAAATGTTTATGTTTTTTATTGATGCAGGATTAATTTAAATTAGATTAAAATACTGCTCATAAGAATTGGCATTCTAAAATTTATGGAAGAAATGGGATAGCTAATATATCTTCTTAGGAAAAAATCCAGTTTGTTGATTCTATCTTATTCCCTTAGTCATTTATTAAGTTAGTCTTCTTAATGACAAATTTTTTAATATATTTTATTTTATTTTATTATGTTATGTTAATCACCGTACATTATATCATTAGTTTTTGATGTAGTGTTCCATGATTCATTGTTTGCATATAACACCCAGTGCTCCATGCAGAACATGTCCTCTTTAATACCCATCACCAGGCTAACCCATCCCCCAACCCCCCTCCCCTCTAGAACCCTCAGTTTGTTTCTCAGAGTCCATAGTCTCTCATGGTTTGTTTCCCCCTCCGATTTCCCCTCCTTCATTTTTCCCTTCCTGCTATCTTCTTCTTTTTTTTTTTTAACATATAATATATTATTTGTTTCAGAGGTACAGGTCTATGATTCAACAGTCTTGCACAATTCACAGTGCTCACCACAGCACATACCCTCCCCAATGTCTATCACCCAGCTACCCCAGCCCTCCCACCTCCCACCACTCCAGCAACCCTCAGTTTGTTTCCTGAGATTAAGAATTCCTCATATCAGTGAGATCATATGATACATGTCTTTCTCTGATTGACTTATTTCATGACAAATGATTTTAATACTAAGTAAAACAGTTCATAAAGATAAGAGGGATTTTAATGCTATGCAGTTGAACCTAGCCAAAATCATAAAGTTGCTGGAGTTAGTCTTTGGAAACATCCTACCTACCCTTTTTATATTTTAATTTCCAGGTTTATTGAGGCATTGACAAATACTACCAATGCTTTTGATATCTCCTTTCTCTCTCTGTTTTCATTTCTCATGGAATGTTTTAGTCCATTGTGTCAAACTTTCACAAAAATGATGAAGCCTGGGAGGTTTGGAGTGGATTAGACCTTGAAAAGTGCCTTTAGGTAACTATCCATTCACAAACTCAAGGCATCCACTACAAAATACTAAGGGAGTAAAACATATAGTCATAAACTTGAAATGCTTTGTACAAGGTGCTTTCACATTTTTCGATGCACAAACAGAAAACGTTTTATACACACACATGCACACACACACACACACACACTTCTGCTTTTTTCCTAGACTATATGCTATTGGTGGTCGTGATGGAAGTTCCTGCCTCAAATCAATGGAATACTTTGACCCACACACTAACAAGTGGAGTCTGTGTGCTTCAATGTCCAAAAGACGTGGAGGTGTGGGAGTTGCAGCATACAATGGATTCTTATATGTTGCTGGGGGTCATGATGCCCCTGCTTCTAGCCATTGCTCCAGGCTTTCTGGCTGTGTGGAACGGTAAAATATTTCTATTTTTTTATGTATGTATTTTTTTTCAGAAATGAGAAATATTTTTAGGCTACTAGAAAGTTGTCTCCCAAATAAGTGTTAATCCTTTCAGATGATTAATTTGTTTTGTAAAATTGCACACTTACTCCTAGGCTCAAAATATTTTGAAGAAATTCTAATGTATTTTAGGTGTATTATAAGAAATATATTCTTTAAATATTCTTTTATTGTTTGAAAATCACCCTATAAAATAATGAAATAAAAAGGATGCAAGAATAAAGAAATTTAATGCCAAACTATTCACCATCTCAAATCAATAAGACTTTACTATTTCAAAAATTATATTAGTCCCCAAAGGATGAAAGCTATACAGAAAGAATTCCCAAAAAGAGATGCTAATTATATTTTGAACAATAACTCTATTGTATTAAGTATTTGATTTTCCAAAAGTAACTTCTTTAAATGGGAGACATTTGTTTGGATAAAGTGTGATAGGTTTGTTCAGTAACTCAGTCACATGATTTGTAGTTATAACATTCACATTCTCTTCAAGATAGTATATATATAATATATATATATCTATTATAGATAATATATATTTATATATAATAGTTAAAAGATATTAACCTAAGGCCAAGTGATAAATTTGCAATTAATAAGGTTATCAGAATTCAGAAGATGGAGATCAGTATGGGATGATGTCCTCAAAAAATTCATGGAGGAAGTAGAATTTGTACTTTGCATATACACAATATAATGAAGGGAATTTCAGGTCTAGAAAAATTAACAATCCAAACCATGGATATAAAGGAGATAGATTTGTAGATAAAAGCAGAGACTTTAGGTTGAAATGCAATTTGGGTGGACAATTCAAAACCCAAATAAGTACCAGATCATTTGATAGCCTGAAATGTCAAAGTGGAAGGTTTTGGATTTTAACTTGTAGTGAAGGGACAGTTAAATTTAAGGGGAGTGGAATATCACAAAGAAAACTGTTTAGGGGAAATTGATCTAACAGTGATATAAAGGATAGAATTTGGGAAGAAAAGACTAAAGGGATAAATATGTATATTATATGTTTTCTTCTGAGAAACGTACCACTGAATCATAATTGATAACACTAATACTCTGTTTCTTATAGGAAATAATTGATCTGTGGTAGGTTTTTTAAAAAGGTTAATCATATTAAAACCATATGATCATTTAAATTGATGCAGAAAAAGTACAACATCCATTCATGATAAAAATAAAAACTCAAAAAGGAGATTAGAAGGAACATACTTCAACATAATAAAGGTCATATATATGAAAAACGAGCAACCAGCAGCTAACATACATAATGGGGAAAAACTGAGAGTTTTTCCTCTAAGATCAGGAACAGGACAAGGATATCCACTCTCACCACTTTTATTCAACACAGTACTGGAAGTCTAAGCCACAGCAATCAGAGAAAATAAATAATAAATGAATAAATAAATAAATAAAAATAAAAGGCATCCAAATAAGCAAAGAAGTCAAACTTTCACTATTTGAAGATAACATGACACTATACCTAGAAAATCCTAAAGACTCCAACAAAAAATCCTACTAGAACTAATAAATGAATTCAGTAAAGTCTCAGGTTACAAAATCAATGTACAGAAATCTGTTCTATTTCTATATACTAATAATTAAAGAGAAGAAAGAGAAGAAAATAATCCCATTTACAATTGTACAAAAGCAATAAAATATCTAGGAAAAAAAGAACTTAACCAAAGAGGTGAAAGTCCTGTTCTCTGAAAACTATAAAACACTGATGAAAAAAATTGAAGATGACACCAAAAATGGAAAGGCATACCATGCTCAAAGATTGGAAGAACAAACATTGTTAAAATGTGTATACTACCCAAAGCAATCTACACATTTAATGTAGTCCTTATCAAAATACCAACATTTTTTCACAAAGCTAGAACAAACAACCCTAAAATTCATATGGAACCAAAAAAGACTCCAAATAACCAAAGCAAACTTGAAAAAGAAAAGCAAAGCTGGAGGCATCACAATTCCAGGTTTCAAGTTATATTACAGAGCTGTAGTGATCAGAAGAGTATGGTACTGGTACAACAATAGACTCATAGATCAATGCAACAGTACAGAGAACCCAGAAATGAACCCACAACTCTATCATCAACTAATCCTCGACAAAGCAAGAAAGAATATCCAATGGAAATAAGACAATCTCTTCAACAACTGATATTGGGAGAACTAGACAGCAACATGCAAAACAATGAAACTGGGCCACTTTCTTTCTTTTTTTTTTTTTAAAGATTTTATTTATTTATTTGAGAGAGAGAGAATGAGAGATAGAGAGCACGAGAGGGAAGAGGGTCAGAGGGAGAAGCAGACTCCCTGCTGAACAAGGAGCCCAATGTGGGACTCGATCCTGGGACTCCAGGATCATGACCTGAGCTGAAGGCAGTCGCTTAACCAACTGAGCCACCCTGGCGCCCGAAACTGGACCACTTTCTTACACCATACACAAAAATAAACTGAAAATGGATTAAGAACCTAAATGTTAGACATGAGACCATAAAAATTCTAGAAAAGAGCACAGGCAGTAATTTCTCTGATATCAGCCTTAGCAACATTTTTGTATATATGTCTTCTGAAGCAAGGGAAAGAAAAGCAAAACTAAACTGTTGGGACTACATGAAAATAAAAATCTTTTGCACAACAAAGGAAGCAATCAACAAAACTACAAGGCAAACTACTGAAGGAAGATATTTGCAAACAACATATTTGATAAAAGGTTAGTATCCAAAATATACAAAGAATGCATACAACTCAACAGCAAAAATACCCCAAATAATCCAATTTAAAAAATGGCAGAAGGCATGAACGGACAGTTCTCCAAAGAAAACATACAGATTAATAGACTTTTTTCAAAAAACAGAAACAAAAACACTCAGATGGCCCACAGACACATGAAAAGACTCTCAACATCACTCATTATCATGGAAATGCAAGTCAAAACTACAATGAGATATCACATCTGGTCTGAATGGCTGGTCTGAATGGCTAAAAGCAACAATAGGAGAAAGCAGTGTTTGAGAGGATGTGGAGGAAAAGGAATCTTCTTGTATTGTCAGTGGGAATGCAAACAGGTGCCACTACCATGGAAGACAGTATGGAGGTTCCTCTAAAAGTTAAAAATATAACTACCTTATGATTCAGTAATTGCAGTACTGGGTGTTTACCCAAAATAATACCAAAAAAAATTGAAAGGAACAGATGCACATGCTTATTGGAGCATAATTTACAATAACCAAATTATGGAAGTAGCCTGTGTCCATCGCCAGATGAATGGATAATTAAAATGTAGTATATATGTACCATGGAATATTATTCAACCATAAAAAAGAATGACATCTTGCCATTTGCAACAACATGGATGGAGCTAGAGAGTATTATGCTAAGTGAAATAAGTCAGAGAAAGACAAATACCATATGCCTTCAATCATATGTTGAATTTAAGAAACAAAACAAAGAAGCAAAAGGAAAGAGAGAGCAAGAGCGAGAGAGAGAAACCTAAAATCAGACTCTTAACTATAGAGAATAAACTGACGATTACCAGAGGGCAGATGAATGGGAGGATGGATGAAATATATGATGGGGATTAAAGAGTAAACTTCTCATGATGAGCACTGAGTAATGTATAGAATTGTTGAATCATTATATTGTACATCTGAAACTAATATAACACTGTGTGCTAATTTTACTGGGATTAAAACAAAAAACTTAATAAAAAAAAGTTTAATCCTGAGTGACTGGCTTCCTGCTATTCAGCGTATCTTTGACATGCTTCTCCTAAGATTGGTTCCTAAGAGATGCAAAAAAAAAATTATTTTAACCTTATGCAAAATATAAACAAGGTCAATCACTGCCTCAAATATTTACTGTATTATAGCTAAATATATGTGATGCTAAGATTATCCACACTAGTTCTCCCCATAGTTAGCAAAGTAATAGTTGATCACCTTTTCATTATGCTAGGTTATTTTTACATAACATAAAATTTACCATTTAACCACTCTCAAACGTGAAATTTAGTGGCATTAAGTACATTCACATTGTTGTGAAAACATTACCAATCATTTATGTCCAGATCTTTTTTTTGTCTCCTCACACTGAAACTGTACTCATTAAACAACAACAACAAAAAAACACCATTCCTCCCTCACCTCAGCCACTGGCCACCACCACTTTATTTTCTGTTTCTATGAATTTGACAACTCTAGGTACCTCATAAAAGTGGAATCATAAGTAGTTACCCTTTTGTGACTGGTACATTTTACTTAGAGCATAATTCTTCAAAATTCATCCATGTTATACAATTTGTCAGAATGTCCTTTCCTTTAAAAGCTAAACAATATTACATTATATGTACATACCATGTTTTGTTTATTCTTTCATTCATCAGTGAAAAATTGGTTTGCTTCCACCTTCTGGTTACTGTGAATATTGCTGCTATGAATATATGTGTACAAATATCTGGTTGAAACTCTGTTTCAATTCTTTTGGGTATATATTAAGAAGTGAAATTATTAAATGTTAATGGTATTTTTAAATTTTTGAGGAGCATACACACTGTTTCCCGTAGCAGCTGCATGATTTTATATTCCCATCAAAGCGAAAGTGTTCCAATTTCTGCACATCATCACCAACACTTATTATTTTCTTTTTGGTTTTTTGTTTTTAATAGTTATCCCAATGTATTTGAAGGGGTATCTCTTTGTGGATGAAATTTGAGTTTCCCTAATGATTAGTCAAGTAATGGATTTATAGAAAATCAATTAAATATTATGTAATTATATAAATTACATATATATTTATTATATAAATTACATATAGATAAAATCGATTATATATTACATAATTATATAGATTATATATAAAATCAATTATATATTAGGGATTTCATATGGATTGTCATTTGCAACAACATGGATGGAGTTAGAAAGTATTATGCT